TTTACAACTTTCGCATTTCCATTCAGAAACTCATAAAGCAGTTATCGACACACATTTCCACCCAGAGCTATTGAATCAACTTGTAAGTTCAGTTCATATCTAGATGCTCGGACATGAACATGCATTGTCTTGAATTAGTCTAACATGTCTCGAAGAACTCACTACAACTTTTTTGTCAAGCTGTAAAATTTGTCTTCTGCTTTTCATTAATGCTTTGTTAAGCATCAGCATACCCAGTGCTATACAAAATACAGAAGTAGTAGCATTCATATTGTGAAGAGTTTATAATACAATACCTGTAAAGAGGTTGCAAGCTTTGCTGTAAATAAACTCTAGGAAATAAAAGTCTTTCTCCCTCCCAAAAGAAATTTGGCAGTGCAAGTCCAGTGATAACATATTTCTTTATCACAAACATTAAAGAAGAAAATGAAAGGTGTAAGAACTGAATTGAATATTTCAGGAAGGAAAAATTAATATATATCACTGATGATGGATCACCTAAAAAAAGTGGTATTTACATGTATAGGTCTTGACTGCTAAAGCACCAGTTTTTGGCTTTTTGTCCAAAAAAAGAAAAAAAAAATTAAATAAAGTTTAAGGGTAATTCATGGTCATTGCTAATATCTTGGACCTAGAAACCCACTAGTAGACAGACACTTCATAGCTCTGTAAATGCTGGGGACCTATCATACTAAAATGCTGCATGTGAAAATTTTGCACAATCAACATGCTAACCATGCTTCCATTTTTAGACTCTTAAATAAATCTGTATTTAGGTTTTTTTTTTATGAAAAGTAGATTATTCTGAATGTATGAAATATATGTCCAAAAATACACCAATATTTTCTTAATTCAAACGTACTAAGAATTGTGTGAATATCTATGCTAGCATTTTGTTTAAATATGCTATACCAGAAATGCTCAAACCAGCCCATGGCCCACAGGGGCTCCCCACAGGTCAGAAATTTAGTGGAGGGAGAGAAGTGGCACTGATCCCCCTCCACCAAGCTTCTGAACCTGAGGGAAGTCCTAGGCACTGAATTGGGTGCTCAATCCTAGTATGCAGGGCTGGATGGTAATGGTACCAGGCCCCAGGGTCCAATCTAGCATGTGGAGGCCAGAAGGGGACAGTGTCAGGCCCCCAGGACCAAATCCCAGCATGGTGGGATAGGAAGGGGTGATGCCAGGTCCCCAAGGACCAGCCCTGGTGGAAGGGGGTAGTGCTGAACCCCTGGGGACTATTGGAGGTGTAATTATTGGAGATGTAAGGCAATGTCTTACTCTCTTGAGTGGGATAATTTCACCCTGTACAGAAACACAGAAAGGGAAGCCGGACCCTGAGAAAAAGTACCTACTTGCAGGTAGGCAGGAAGGGCTGATTCTTGCCTCCTAACGTTCTCCCATATTAATAAACTAGGTGGTCTAGTTTCACCAGGACAATTACTCAGCAGTGGATATCAACCTACTCCCTCCCTTGACCTCTCATTCACAATCTCCTTCCTGGCTTGCTGCAGGGAAGTGATGCAACAGGTTACACAAATCGCTCAGTTACAGCAAAGCCTTAAGTAGTGATGACATAAATATATCTTTCCTGGACTTAGACCTGGTATACCAAGCTTCACCCCAATGTGCATTATCTGGGTCAGGTTATAACATCACAAAGGCAGAGAGCAGGGAGTAGAATGAAGTGTAAATTGACCCACAGTTTAGGTGACATAGTAGTAATGCTATTTTTGACAGCTCTGAACACAAATTCAAATGCTATTCAGAGTTATAACTGAGAGATTTAGATTTTCACAGAAATCAAATACATATCCTCTAAAAGCAAGAAGCCCTTAGGTTAGCTAATAGTCTCGTATAAATGTATTGCTTAGTTAGGTCTAGTGATTAGATTCTGTGTTGGACATAAAGCCAGCTGAAAGGATATTTATTCATAATATGTAAATAAAGGAACAGAGATTAGCATGCAGGTGTGTATTTATCTTTGTTCTCAACCCAGCAGTACAAATTTCAGCACATGGCTTTAACATTTTTGTGAAATGTTTGCTCCCATCTAAAAATAAGAATCTTAAAGAGACTTAAGGAGTAAAAAAACAAAAACAAAACTTGTCTATGACAAAATATGATTCAAGCATATACTCTTGCTTGAAGAGGTCGGACTCGATGATCTATTGAGGTCCCTTCCAACCCTAACATCTATGAATCTATGAATCTTCTGGAGCTAATGAAGCTATCAGACTGTCATAGAACAGACAGGAAGTCAGCTGTTTTGATAGCCGATAGATTTAAACTTTTCACCTGACCTAACCAAGGCTTGTCTATAAATTCCAGACTTAACAGAACCATAGTCAAGTACTTTTACATGTGTATATATAATTAAAAATCTGTGTTTTATAATCTTAGAACCTTTAAAATACATTTCTTTTCTTAGCACATTTTTTTTCTATCTGATTACCATTAAAGTTTGTCCACTGACTATTTACTTTAGACTTAAACTATTTAAACTATACTAAAAGACTTGTGAAAGACACTGGATCAGCACTGGAAACAGAGTTCCATTGTTTAGCCACATAATAGGTATAACACACAGTGCTCTTTGCACTATGTGACAATATTCTTGAATACTGAAATGAAGGGACCACCTTTAAAAGGTTAATGTAGCAGACTACATTCCTTGATATATTCACTGAGACTGTAAACAATTGTGTTAAGCAAAGTGTAATGGTGATTTTTTAAAAATGTGGACTCCAATCCACTGACCAAATAGATTGAAAAGCAATTTAATTCCATACAGATCTTGTAACAACTGAAAGATTATAGTAGTTTTTCATCATAACTTTCATCACAAAGAGATAGAATCACGGCCTGAGAGGTGAAGGACACTATCCCTTTGTTTGTTAAGCTATACAAAGTCAATACAAAAGGGAAACTGAAATAAAGCTTTCACTACACTTCAGCCATGCTCAATCCTGATTCTTTTCTCTCCTGGTATGCAAGAATCAAGGGATACTGGCACGGACTATAGCAATAGAAAACTCAGGACTTGACAGGGAAGGGTGATAGGGATTCTGGGGCTGAAATGGTGTTGGAAGCTAAAGAGAACATCCTGCAACATGCTCAAGGGCACAGCAAATGCTGCTACTATGTACACTGCTTCAGCAATCCCAGAGTCCCTGTGCCTCAGGACACAACTCAGATATACATAATGTTTATACTGATATAAATGATTTCTTCACTAGAGTAAACAAGGAGAAGACAGAAGACATAACCCCCTAGAATGGCGTATACCCAATCCAGAGTAGCATTACCTCTGCAAGAATCAAGGATAAAACAATATCAGTACAAGATATACTATGAATGATGCACGGCCCTGAAGGCTGTGGGGGCACGACAACCACCCACAGATGCCGCTGGCAGCATTGGTGGCGGCCAGTGGCATTCAGTGACCGTCTGCAGATGCTGCTGGTGGTGTTGATGGCAAGGGGGTGGGATAGCAGGTGGTGACCACCTGCAGGCACCGCTGGCAGTCTCGGCAGTGCTTCTTTCAGGGGGTGCACTGCCAATCTCAGGGGGTGTGCGTGTACCCGCATGCACCCCCTATGTGTCGCCAATGACCTACACACTGGTGTATGTGCCTTTTGTCCTCACCTTACTTGGAGACCATTTGTTCCCCACCCCTTGCTGACAAGGTGTAATAAAGGCCTTGTTACATGTTACACTGCGAGCTGCACAAATGTTGATCAGTGTTAGGGCTAGCCTGGGTTTGGAACAGTCACATATTCAGATCAGCAGGAGCTTGGAGGACTGAAAGGTAAGAATCCCTCCTCCCCATTCTGGGTTTCCCCTGCCACTCAGTGTTCCCCCTCCATTGTTCCCTCCCCCAACTTCCTTCTGGCTGCCTGTGCTGTCTGTCCAGGGGCCATTGTCACCACTTGCAGGCTGCTGTTCTTTTCAGGGCTGAGCCCAGTCCAGACAGCAGCAGCAGTGGTGAGTGGTGTTGGCCAGACAGGCAGGTTAACCCTGGCTGCTCCGCTGGGGCCAGACAATGTGGACAGCCACAAGTAAGTGTGTATGGAGGGGCATGGGGGCAGGCTGTGAATGGGGATCTGGGGTGCTGAAGGTGTGGGGGTACTGGCCTGATCTGGGCCAGTGAGGTTGGTGGGGTATTTACACTGAGGTGTAGTCTAAAGTGGCTACAACTTAGTGTAACATGAGCTGGGCAATATGGATCAGAGATAAACCTAGTCTGGAGTGGTATAACTTTAAGCCACTTAAAGACTGCTTAAAACTAGTTTCAAGTGTTAATGTATGGATAATCCAGGGATTCAGAGCTCTAGGAGCTGCCTAAAATTAACAGGTAACAAGACCCTAATAGCAACCTACATTAGAATACGTTGGTACACTAGAAGAGGCTACTTATCCCTCTGCTCTAGACACTGTTATACTTTATTTATATCAGCATACTGTGCTGATGTGATGTATCATGTTTCCAGATCAGCGCTATACACCTTATCTCATGCTCAGGTAATAGTGTGAAAACACATCATATTAGGGCAATGAACAATAGCTTTAAAAATCACAGCAGAACATCCTATTTTGGGGGGGCGGGGGAGGGAAACGCCACTGTGCTGTGGAATCACTTCCTTGTTACTATGATGGGACAAGCTTCCTGGGCACAGAAGACATAGTTTGTTGGAGAAAGGAAATGATTATCCTCTAAACCAAATTGTATGTATACTAGCATTTGTAGTAAATGTTAGCTGGCTCCAGCAAAACTAAGCTTTTTTATACTAAATAAAGCAGAAGAAAACTATGTTCCCTGCTTTATCTAGTCTGCATACCATGTGATATTCTAAGAAAGATAGGTTTCCTGGTACTCAGAGTGCAATTTTCAGTATATCCATGTTTATCCCAATACTGGTACTATATGCCTCTTGTGCTACAGCAGTAAGTGATTTGACTCTCCAGAATCAGATAATCATTTTAATCCAAAGGCTTACCTTGGGATGAAAACTTCAATTCCTTGGCATCTGTGACAGTTGTTCTTTTATCTGACCTCTTCTTTTCAGTTCGACGATGGCTACGTCTTTTCTTCGTCTCTCCCCAGAGGTTTGATCCACCATGCATGCTTGGAATGTTCAGAATCGCAATTCCTTCCAGAGAAATATTGATTAAGTCTAGCTGAATTCCATCACACTGATTCACAAAGGGGGTGGGGAGAGAAGGAAATAAAGAGAGAAAGCAGTAAGAGAGAAAGAGAAAATCAAAATGTTCTACCTACCAAATGTTTTTCTTCCATTTATCATTATTACGGCTGTGGAATTCCTACTTCCAAAGTGTTCTTCCAAAACTAAAGTTTAATTCTAATATATACTTATTGCAGGAAAGGAGCTGTGAGATGGGATTCAGGAAAACAGATCTTGGTCTATACTAATAGTACCGATTCCCAGGTTGCTTGCTTAAATATGGATCTATGGGGTAGTAAAAGGCTGTTCTTTGATGACCATGTATTGCCCTGACTTAAATGTATTTATGATTTTACTTCAGCTTTTAGTGGACAGATATCCATATTAAAGTACTTACCTTCATAATAATTTGCAGTCCTTTTGTCTGCTCCCAAGAAAAACTCACTCTCTCTAAGTTTTATGATGGTTCCCATCACACCTTAATGTTTGAGGCCCTTACATATTACCACTAATCATGGAAATCCCCAGATGGACTACACAGTCTCTGGCATCTTTCCCTTTTGGGTTTAAATGGGATTTTTAAAATTTAATTTTTACATGATGTGTTAATTTACTCTTTTAGGCTCATATGCTTCATTTTAGTGGCAGGGTCTTTGGGCAGAAGAGAGCATCAGTGGGGGGGTTTTATGCTGGAAAGGCCTTGCTGAACTAAAGATAACTAGACACAGATATCTTGCCATTGCTGTCTTTTCAGGTTTGAAGCCTGTTACTGAAGGGCAGCTTGCATTATCACTGTATGTTTTTCTTGTTCTTTTGAGAAATATTAGGCTTCACAGAATATGTTGTTCATAGATGTTAGTTTCATAGATGTTAGGGTCAGAAGGGACCTCAATAGATCATCGAGTCTGACCCCAATAATAAATTGTTATTAATTTACTTTTTAAATTATTCCTCCAGAGGACTTTTTCACTTATAAGAGATTGAACTGGGAGCCCTGATTTATCATTCTATCTGATGGATTTATCCAAAGCCTCCTCTAAGTAATATATGGTATGACAGCATTGGGTATGAGTCTGTTTTTGGAGTTAAACCCGCTACCTTGTCTAGAGGCAAAGTGCTACTAACACAGTCATACCCCTTCCCTTAGGAATCAGACAGAGACTGCCAGCCCATTCTGCAGCAAAACACTGACTATAAAGATGAGGAGGGCATGATGGGGGCAAGGACAACAGGAAAAAAAAATTGGTTAATACACCCTGAATCACTTTTGAACCTATTATGTAAAAGGAAGAGACACCATTATCCACTTATTAATTCACAGAGCCATCCAGTATCCCTGATAGCCACATTCCTGTGGCATCTGTATGATAGCCTTATGCTACACAAAACAGCTGAACTGTGGAGATATCCAGGCAAAAACACCACAGCATATATTAAATGTATTCACTCCTAATCCTGCAATTTACAATTTTCCATGGATGTCTGCATGTTTAAAGGGGTACTTTAAGGCTGCAGGGGTCCACTTGTACATTGTAAATTGAAGGATACAGGCTTTATTTTGCAATTCCAATATATAATTATCAGGGTGAAAACTAGAAAAATAATTCATTATGCTTCAGTGATAGTTCACTGACATCTTGCAGCTTGCCGCTCTATGGGTCACTGTCACTTTCTCTCTGCTTAATATTAAGCCTGTATTAAGGCTTTTAACATGAAAAAGACTATAACTCAAGAGATAGCCACATATCATTATTACTGCCCATACCCTCATTATTCATTTATATGAAAGCTACCAGAGCACAAAACAGAACCATATTTAAAGCAGACTCTGTACCTTTCAAATTCTAACAATGTTAAAAATCTAAAGAGAGGACAGTGACAGTATTTTTTATGTTTCTCTTCCAAAATTAAGGTTTAAATTTGTGGATAATGTCCATAGAAGGAAGCTGGCAAAGTGCAATGACACATCATGAAATGACTTGGCAGTTGTGACAACAAGTATAACAGAAAGTGCAAATCTGTATTGATTGTTTTTCCTTTCGATAAACGTGATGACTTCAATATAATTTTTGAGGAAAAAAAATCATGTTTTTCCCAATATTTTATATGTATTAAATATTAAGATGACATATTTTACTAAAAAATTCTGCTCATGTGTATAGTCACTTACTACTATACATTCTAGATAAACAGATATTAATTTCATAATTAAAAGTAATCTTGTGTAAATACCCTGCAGGCCTCAATGAATCAAACACATACTGTGTGTCAGGCCTCCCACTGTCTTCAAGTGGAATGTACTGGCTGGATAATTAGATAGTACATATTTTTTAACCTTATTTGCATGCATATTATATCTTTTGCACACTGACAAGCAGCAGTAACAACAAAAGTCAGATTACCACAGGGAATTCCCACAAAGAAGTCTTCATTCCTTATAATTTGCAGCCTAAATTAAAATAATTTGATCTTTGACAAGGATGAAATGTCAAGCAGAAGGGGGTCCTCTACAAGCCACGGCCTGTGGCTTCTGAAATCTGCCTAATTTATGTCAGTCACTTCTTAATACATATTTAAGTATTACACGAAAAAGATGATAAATATGCAATCTGACACCTTTGGTATTTCCCTGCTGTTAATTTATAAAGGTCTGGCGTCCCCCAAACCAACTGGAATTATTTAAATAAAAGAAGAATTGTGAAATAAGATGGTACAGAGGCCTGGCTTCCATTTTCACTCAATATTGAACACAGCAGGTAGTACACTAAGACAATTATTTGACTAGGCCTCAGAATCCCACAGTGACGAGTTACTTTTAAAATTAGTAAAGGAGGATTTCTTTTGTTCATACACAGACGAGGAGTTTGCACGACAGGTAGCTTTCTGTTGCCCTAACACATTCAGATGCTAAAATAACAAAACACAGATGTGTTTTCTTCCCATTTTTTTCTGTTTCACATAATGTAAAGGTGTTGTTAATACAACAGCATGCTTTTTGCATGCATAGCATGTCTATGACAGTTAGAAATTAATAGTAGCTTATTTCTAGTTCCTTTCTTACCTCAGCCTCCGCCCCTCTCTGAGCGTTAGCTTTTACATTAGCTTTTTCACTAGCCTGGGACATTTTAGATTATCCTTACATTAAGGCCATAATGTCTGATTCAGCTTCCTGAAAATAAATGATATAAAGACTATGCAGGCTAAACAAGTGCAGCATTGTGCCAGATAATACCATCTATTAACTTCTCTCATCAGACTTTCTTCTTTAAAGGCAGTTATGAAGGTGAAGCGATTCAAGACAACAATTAGGATACGATGCTTTCCTGAACAGGTGACCCTTCCTGTAACTTATACATGGATTCTAGTTTGTCAGTTAAGAGTTTAAAAATTACTGTGCCCCTCATACAAAACAGAAATACAGGACTTAGGATATGGGACTGCATAATAGGAAGGCCATACTTGATTAGGTTAGAAATCAAACATAGAGATGAACAAATATTTGCCCATAGAATGCCTATTTACATTTTCCCAGCTCAGAGATATAGATCCTTAATCTTCATGGGCTTTGTTCATTCAAAATGTGTGTTTTATTCACAAAGAGCTCATTTGCCAGAGAGCCAAAAAGTGAAATGTGGTATTGTTCACCAAGGTCTCACGTACAACGATATCCTCAAGCAAGGGGCATCAGGTTACAAAACAGATGAAAACACATTGTAAACACAAATGCTGATGACATGAAACAAGGAAAAACCAAATATGAATACACTGTTAAGCATTACTGGTGCACCCAATCAGCAGGGCAATGACTGCAATGACTTGTTCCTGTCACCCATATTAACGAGGTTAGTTTCTATTTGGTTTGGGCATATACCTTTCTTTAGCCTTAATGATGTTAACCAGCAAGCATAAAATGATTAAGGACAAGTGCATGTTATAGCGTTACATTCTAATGGATATTGTTGCTATTAGTAGTACTGGTATTATACATAAAAGACTGAGATTTAGTGCCATTCCAAGAGGATAATTGTGAGGCTGCAGGATTATAGCAATTGTAGTCTATATTACGGTCATCTAGTTAAGAAAAAAAAAATCTAACCACAAACAAGTCTTACAGAGAATTTTGGCTATATGGAAAGTAGTTTCTTGGAAATAAAACCTGCTTGTTTTCTTTGTCTCTTTCTATTAAAATGTATGTGAGAGAGACTCCAGAACCACATTCAGAAACAAATCAGATAGTCACTTCTTTAGATGTTTAGAAAAATATTTTTTCAGGGGTTGATTGCATTTAGAACCGAATATGAAGCAGTTTCTTAGAAAGCAGAATAGATATTAAAATTTTGCTTTTAAACAGCTATAAATACTCCAGTTTTCAAGAAAAGAGCAATTGCATCATTTTTTTTTGGTAGCAACAAAATACCTTCACAAGCATTTCCACCAAACACACTAGGCAAGTTCTGTGCCTGACTTCAGTCTTAGTATTCAGGTGCTTGGAGAACAACAAAGATCAAAGCCCATTAAGTCTAAGTCAATATGAATCTTTCAGTTGTTCTCAGTAGACTTTGGACCGGGTCCTAATGGCTTTCTGTTACACATTTTGAGTTCTCATGCTCACTGGTAAGTGGCAAATATTCCGTTACTTTCAAAAGAATATTGTTAGATGCTCTAAAATTATTTCAGAAGAGAAAAGGATTGAAATATTCTTGAAGAATAATTTCATTATTATTACTTACATAATAGTAGTTTAAAATACCATTTTTATATTCAATGCAATCTATTTCACATTACATTTTTAATAGAAATGGCAGCCCCTGGTTTACCTAATGCAGTCACTTGTGTCACAAACTGCTTAGCCCCCTGTTTGGAGGTACTTTTTCTTTTGTACCTATTCTGTCCTTATTTATCCAGGTTGTCTTTTTAGCTAACTGTTGATGCAGAATGGTAAGATGGCCTCTTCAGCAGAGAGAAAAGATAGTTGATAAAGGGGAATGATTCCAAAAAATTATTCTTTAACCTTTATTCAGAAAAGTAAGTACAATTTTAGAGAATTGAATTTTAAGGGCTATAAAAACTCAGGACCTAGAAATAATAAGATTTTTTTATTTTAATCCTGCAGCAGTTCTCACTCCCTCCAACAGTCTTTCATTTTTCTATCTGACCCAGCCACACTCCCTATTGATTTCTAATGTTATAGTTCACCTTTTGCCCTCTTCCACTGTATTAAGACTTCACTAATCATCAAACTGAACTTTGTTCCAATGTTCACGGCTACACCACAAATAGACAGGATAAAAATAATATTTTGGGATCTGGGGTCAAAAGTATGTACATTTCTCTGTCTTGCTGGATTCAGGCACTCTGCACCCTTGGCTCCCTAACATTTCAGTCAAACCAGCAACATTTCATAGCATGACATGCAATAATTAGTTTCTTACTTCTATTTCTACAGATTCATGCAGCTTCTTGCAGGTGGCTGAGAAAGTTTCAGAAGTGCCAAACTCAAAATACCAAAATTTGTTCTTCATTCTGAAACAGGGAAAAAAAAGAAAGAAAAGAAAGAAGCTTATGCAATATCAATATCTGAACAAAAAAGTGATCATCCTGTCTTCCATCATAAGTAATGGCAAAGGCTTGGGAACATATGACATCCCATTTGAAATAGATGAGCTCATAATTTTCAAAGCTTAAATGTTGGTGTCAAGTTCTATGATATCCCCTAAAGGGATAACAGAAATGTGTTGAACTGACAGGTTCAAATGTACCTTTGACTTTTCTTTCTCAGTGACTATCACAAGGTTTTTGTCACTTAACCAGTGACATCCCTCTGAAAACTTATTGATTCTTATTTCACATCTTACACCTACTGTGTGGTTGAAATCCCTATTCCATAGATTTCAAGCGTCTGGAAATAGGGCTCTCCCTTCATGAAGAAGACATAAGTAGAGAAGCCAGCTCCAAGCCAGTTAATTGGTTATTGTTTATTGTTGGCAAGAACAGGCATTCATTTCTAGCAGTAGACGTTTCTGAGAATTTCCACTGCTACTAATGTTTCTGGAACAGGGAGCAGTACAGGCATACAGACAGTAACTGTCCCCTCTTCCCTGCTCCTTCCAGAGCTCAGGGTGATCCCAGGTCTGGGGAATGTGGAGGGAGTCTTTTTCCACTGCTCCCCTACCCACCCACAGACTAGTCTGGGAGGGGACTACAGAAGCCCCAGTCTTTCCCCCAGACCAGGCAGTTCCTGGTCTGGGGAAGTTTGGGGAGCATTGTCCTGCTGCTTCAGGGAGAACTTTCCCAGCTCCATGGGCTTTTAAATCACTGTCTGTGCCCCCAGTTTGATTGGCACATGCAACATTTAAAGTCCTTAATGTAAGGATCTGAGACAAGAAAGCTTCCCTGAGCCCACTTCCAACCTCTACCGGCTTTTAAATCACTGCCTAACTGTTCAGGTAGGTGGTGGGGTGAGCAAGGGAAAGCTGACAGGGTCAGAACTGGGTTTGGGGACAGCCTCCCTAAACTCAGTTCCTAGCCCTGCCATACACCTGGCAGTCCCTGGTCCAGGGGAGGGGGGGGGAACATAAAAGTGTTCATTCTTGCAATAAAGTTTCTCTCACAAGGGAGATATTGCAGGTTGAACCTAAAACAGCTTCTCTTGGAGGGCGAATATGTCTCCAGGGAGAAACTGAAAATGCTTGTGTGCCTGTAGTATTTATTGGGAGAGTCGTGATTCTCTTGGTAGAAATGTAATGTCTGCATAGGGCCTATGACAGATAAGCATATGTGCAGATGTTACATTCAGACTGACCTAACTTGGTTTAGGTCAATCTACATGTCTATCTGTGTAGATGTTTCAGGAAGTTAAATTGGACAAAAAATGACCAGCCTGATCTAAATCAGTTTACCTGAGGATGTGAACTAAGTTAGATTGAAATGGGTTAGTCCTGCGGTTCCCAAACTCTGACAGATTCCACACCACTAATTTAAAGTGATACAACCTTAACTATCGCCAGCAAATTTTTCAGTTCAACCTTAAGTTATACCAGAAATTTTTTGTCATATAAAGTAATTATAATAAATCTGTTAACAAGTACCACTGGTAGATTGTCTGTGTACCACTGGTGGTACCTATACCAGAGATTGGGAACCACTGGGTTAGTCAAATCTACTGAATGTCTGTATACATTTGGAGCACATCCTTGGGGCTGGGAAAGCCAAGCTGCTGCCACAGCTCCAGGCTATGCTCTTCTAATCCCTCCCTGACCAAGGAGTGTTAGCCTCCTAACCCTCCCAGCCCCAGACAGACATCCATTCCACAGACCCACTACTCCCCGAGCCCCCCATGTAGACATGCCAGCTGCCCCCAACTCTTCCAACCCCCACCCACTCTGCAGACCTGCTAGACCTCCCCCCACCCTGAGTTACTGAGATTGAGTTCATGGCATGGCTCCCAGCACCGGAGAACATGTGCACAAGCCATTCCTGATGTAGAATCACATAGCTTAAAGTAAGACGCATGGCTGCAGCTTGGGTACAGTGCCCATCTGCAAGTACCCCAAGATATTCAGAGAAAATCAAAATTCCAAGTATAGCATTCTCCTCAGATACTTTGCACCAGGACAGCGGTGCTATCAAGTCATTTTCAGTCACTGACGCACATAAAAAGATGTTGGAATTTGTATCCTGAAGTTCATTAATGGATTCTATTGTAAAATAAAAATAGATTTACATCATATTGAAATTTATAGTTTATCATGAAGCAGTGGAGATATTACATCTGTTTCCTCCCAAATGTATAATGAAGCCTGCACTTCTACTTTACTGGATTTATTTTATACTGTTAAATATAATCAGTACATCAGTTCATATAATTAAATGCAGTTTTGTGTAACTAAAGCAATACTTTAATTAATATTCAGTGGCAAAAAACTATCCTAAAAAGATACCAAATTAGAATTAATTATTCACATTTAAGAATCAGATATGAATGTAGTGCATCCAGTTGTATCAGTCATTCTTGGGTACAAACACAACATACTGTGCTTGGAAGTTGATATAGCTGCTTCTGCATCAGTGCACAAATGTGGAGGGGTGGGAAGGAATGCAGACTGATCTAATTATAAAATGAACTAGCTATAGAGTTGGGTTCACTCTACAGAGTAAGTGGCTTCAGGTAAAAAACTAGCTGTATTGTAAAGCTACAACCACATAAAGACAATGTAGAGGGGTACTAAACTCGCTGTAGTTCAGCACTGAACTCTAAATTAACAGACATTTTCCAAAAGGAAAACCGTTTTTTCATGGCATTGTTTTCAGGGATACCTATCATGCCATATTTTCAAAAGGGCCCTTCTTTTTGCACCCACTGATTGTATGTGAATGCGGTAAGAGTGGATGCTGTAACTACCTGTTACTTCTGAAAACCAAATCTTTAGATATCTTCTTTGCTGATGTCAGTTAGTAAATTCATGAATAGATCAAGGAACATTTACATAACCAAACGACGGGGTTTGCAAATGTTATCGCCTCATGCTCACCTCAGACTGATGCAACCTAAACAATGAAAACTGAAAACTGGCGTTTTCCTATGCTCTACAGTGGGACAGTATGCAACTGAAAAGTAGGAAAAACAAAACAGTCAGATTTAAGAATACAGAAAAGCAGTTTATTTTCGTACCCTTTAGGAATAAAGATGAACAAACCTCGGTACTTTTTTTTTTTTTTTTACAGCCTCTTTTTTTGCTACTTATTCCTATTCTCTCTCAATTCCTTTCCCTTTATTTGCTATCTTTCCCTCCAGTCTATAAAGTTAGCTTTGACTTGACATTTGTGAATGGCTGCATATGCTGAAAACCCTGACTCGTTCTGGGGGGTAAGGAGGGGAGAGAGAAATTATATGATAGCAATCACATAGTTTTTTAAGGACATCAAGAACCTAGTGATGTTAAAATCATGCTAATTGTCTTGAAGAAATAACAACAAAACCCAGAAATTGACAGGACGCTTGATATTTACTAGAAAATTTGAATCTATGAATCAGAACATTGTAGAATTATGTTCTTGTGGATTAATGTGTTTATCAGTTGCTGTTTGGATTGAATATCTATTTCCTGTCACTGCTTTGTACCCTGTGTGATCATATTATTCCCTAAAATATAAGTATTGTATATGCTTGTTCTCCTTTTTCTTCTTGGAAGAATAGGAAAGATGAAACATCTGTTATCAAGAAGAAAACTAGAAATACAACCATTAGAAAGATAGATATAGATATTATTTTTTGGCTTCAGTTTCAAACAGATGTATCAAAACCCTCAGCAAACTATGAAATGGACTAGATTAGAGGTTTCCTTCAAATATGCAAATTATCTTTTATAGCAAAGGAGATATTTTTGAAGTTGTACACGTCATATATTCTTTTCTTATACAGACAAAACAAAGTTACAAGTTAAAAAAACCCAGATAAACTGGAGATATGAGAGAAAATAACACTAAACATCATATGCAAAACCCATCTTCTCTTTATTTTAATACAATTTTCCTTTGTTTTAATAGATAAAAATCTCCATATCTATCGTTAGTTTATGTGCTGTACTTTTAAGTAGGTGATGCTTGTCTATTTTATCAATGGCAGCTGGAAATATAAGCAAGACTCCTTTTGGAAGAGCAATATATCTTATTGTGAGGACTCAACAGAAATACATTTGTTTTACTATGTATTGTCATTAAAGTCTGACTACTGTAGTATAGTAAAAAATGGCAGATATTTGATTGTAAGGTGGTCAGAATAAACACAAAGTGTAGGCAGCTATCCTGACTGATTTTTTTTAATAGGCTGGCTGATGACTGAGAGTTGAAGTTCTTGTTTAAAGGAAGCTCTAGTCCAATACATTTTAGCTGTTTGTATCTATATTTGTTTCACTTCTTATTAGAACAGTAAAGATTACTGCTTATTTTATAAGAAATGTTTGGTGTATATTTTGAAGCAGAAATCTAATCTCTCTTTAAAAACAATATCTTGACTGCTAATGCAATACAAGTACAAGATCAATAATGAAAACAACACTTAGAACAAATGTATATATTAGATAAAAATATAATACATACACAATCTGTACAGAGGTTAAGGATGCACTAAACAAAACCATACTTCAAAAGTCTCACATTTTCTCTCTCTTGTTTCATGTAGTCTAGTACTAGAGAATTCAGTGATAAGTAGGACAATCCTCTAGAATAGGTTTGAGACAAATTGGCAGTGTAGTAGAAGAAAGTCTGTACTGCCATTACCTACAATATTCTTGTACTGTAGATGAATAGCACACTTTTGCCTCTAATGCTGTCAATCCAAAACCTTTCACAAGTACTACATTCACTTAATTAAAAAAAAATGGTAGAGCAGTATTTTCATCCAAGAATCAAGTGAGTTTGGTTAATCTGAATGTTTCCTGGATAAGGTCAGGCCAATATTTGGTTATCATGATCAAAATAGACTGTGATAAAGCTTTGCTTTATTATCAGTTCATTAGAAACCC